AGATCTTGACTGAAATCAAAGAACGTTCTCCTAGTGACTTTATGTCTGTAATCACAGCTACGGGAATCAGTCCGACTTTCTTTGGCGATCGTTTATGACGCCCGTGCAATGCCGCTATCGCTTAGTCGGTGCAGGATAAAATGCATGGCCCCCGGATCTTTAGAGGATCAGTATTAGAATTCCAAAACAACTAGTGCGTGCCAAGTGACACCAAGCTAGAAACTGTTTGAAGGCTAAGAATCTAGTATATATTTTGTTATGATTGAAGTCTATTTTGTCAATAGTTCCATGTTAGTAAAGAAATTTGTTATGCTTTTTATGTCTTTCTCTGTCGTTGTTTTTGATCAATAGATTACATACTTGTTATTTAGTTCTTGTTTAGTTATTTAGTTACCAGTTTCCTTTATTTAGTTACCAGTACAGTTGTGGTTGTTGAATTTTACATGTTTTAAAGGCATTGTTCATTTATGCTTGACAAGAAAGGTATCTTGTAGAAGAATCATGCTAAATCAGTTCTCTATGCATTCAAGCATTTTATGGTTTAATTTTATACAAGCCATCCATATGTTTAATTTAAATGAATAATACAAGTCTTTTCTCTGGTCGGTTTCATTTTATTACTGGGATAACTATTGCTCAAAGGAAATCTTTGAAATTTACTTGAATTTTGCACTCATAGAACCAAACCAAAACAAAATTAGGCTTTTACCCTCGTGTTCCCTAAGTGTACCTCGTATCCCCTTAGTGTATCCCCTTCCAACTACAGTCCATTGCCATATCTCTTGGATTTGCTAGCTCAAAGCAGTCTTCCCTGGAATTTAACTCTTTGCCCCTTGCCCCTACTTCCGATTGCTGAAGGTACAATTTTCTACGAAATGGATGGCTTTTTGAAGTAGATTCACGTTTATGTTTTTGTATTCGAAATTGCATTCATTTCAAGTGTGTTGAACAGTACTTTATGACTTTTTTCGTCGACTTTAGGTGCTTATGTTGTTTGTGTAAGTTGAGCCACAAGTTCTCGAAGCTTTGTTCAAAGGTTCTTAGTTCATTGCTGTATAGACTTACAACTTTGACACAAATATCAGTTAAGTTTGCCTTGAAGCATCTTTGTTTCTTACCACTATGAAATCATTTCCAATATGGATGAGGCAGCAACCACATGAGCATTTTTCACAACAAGACCGGAAGTCTTTTAAGCATATAGATTTGAATAATTTGAAGATATTTGTTTCCATCATTCAAGCATAGAAATTTCATCACTGCAACATAAAAATTTGCTCATTTTGAGCATAGAATTTTCCACAACTTACACGTAAAAGTTTGGCTATATTGAGCAGGATGATATTCACAATTTCAAATTGGAGGTTTGCTTTCTTTCAATTTTGATTTTAATTTCAATGCCTCATTGATTCGAGTGTCCTTTGCTGAAGAAATTGACCACCAGAGGCAAAACATTCTTCAAGAAAATAGCCTCCCTTTTTTCACGAACAGCCTTCTCTCGAAACCCCACTGGTATCAAGTAGTTTTCGACCATTTTAAAGCAGGTTTTGCTATGTTTACGTCCTTTCTTTCAAAAATAAATCCCCTTTAAAGCAAACTATTTACTGACAAACCACATTAGTTTGAAATAGTTTTAAATGTTTTTAAACAAAAAACGATAATTCTGCAAACCTTTTAGCTTTACATTTTTCGAAAAATTGAGCCCCTGAAAAACCATCTATTCTTCAAAAATTAGACCGTTTACTGATAAACCGCATTGTTCTAAATAGGTTTTAGATCGTTTTGTAGAGATTTTGCTTTGGTTTGGTCAAAATTATCAGCCATCAAAAATTGATAATTTTCCAAAGCCTATAGCCTTACATTTTTCGAAAAATTGAGCCCCTGAAAAACCATCTATTCTTCAAAAATTAGACCGTTTACTGATAAACCGCATTGTTCTAAATAGGTTTTAGATCGTTTTGTAGAGATTTTGCTTTGGTTTGGTCAAAATTATCAGCCATCAAAAATTGATAATTTTCCAAAGCCTATAGCCTTACATTTTTCGAAAAATTGAGCCCCTGAAAAACCATCTATTCTTCAAAAATTAGACCGTTTACTGATAAACCGCATTGTTCTAAATAGGTTTTAGATCGTTTTGTAGAGATTTTGCTTTGGTTTGGTCAAAATTATCAGCCATCAAAAATTGATAATTTTCCAAAGCCTATAGCCTTACATTTTTCGAAAAATTGAGCCCCTGAAAAACCATCTATTCTTCAAAAATTAGACCGTTTACTGATAAACCGCATTGTTCTAAATAGGTTTTAGATCGTTTTGTAGAGATTTTGCTTTGGTTTGGTCAAAATTATCAGCCATCAAAAATTGATAATTTTCCAAAGCCTATAGCCTTACATTTTTCGAAAAATTGAGCCCCTGAAAAACCATCTATTTTGTAAAAATTAGACCGTTTATTGATAAACCGCATTGTTCAAAATGGGTTTGGGATCATTTTGTAAAAGTTTAGCTTTATTTTGGTGAAAAATTTCAGCCATCAAAAATTGATAATTTTCCAAAGCCTATAGCCTTACATTTTTCGAAAAATTGAGCCCCTGAAAACACATCTTTTTTTGAAAAATTAGACCGTTTACTAATAAAACCCCATTGTTCAAATGTTTTAATCATTTTTTAAGATTTCGCTTTTGCTTATTGGCGTCAATTAATATCAGCCAGTAAATATAAAATTGATGATTTTTCCCCGAAAGCCTTACTTAGCTCTCTACTTTGTTCGAAAAATTGAATGGGGGTGCGGTGGGGGGGTCAGCCCTCAAAAACCATATATTCTTTAAAAGTGCTAGGAGCGCGCCCGGTTTACTGTGAACCGCATTTATCAAAGGAGTTGGATGTATGTTTGTGAAGATTTAGGCTTGGTTGTTGGGTTGTACAGAATTAAACAGGCCATTCAAAAATTGATAATTTTCTCAAAGCTAAGCCTATACTTTTTCGAAAAATAAGCCCATGAAAAACCATCTAATTTTTTAAAAATGAGACTGTTACTGATAAACACCGCATTGTTCCAGAATGGGTTTGGGATTCATTTTGTAAACTTGTAGCTTGAGAGGGGCTGTGGTCGTCTGTTTCGTTCAGAAGAATGTTCATGCGCCATCAAAAATTTGATAATTTTGGCCGAAAGCCCTATAGCCTGTACAGTTTTCCACAAAACTTGAGCGCCTGATAAAAGGAAGACGATCGTATTTTTTTAACATTCTAACCGGGTTACGAATACAACCTGCGCGGCATGGGTTCAAGAAAGTGGGGTTGGTAGATCGGAGTGTTTGCTAGAGAGTGGCTTTGTTTGTCGTCACAAGGCCGAATGGTCAGGCTCATAAGACAAATTTGGATGATTGTCGCGAGAAGCCGGTGTAGCCTGACGTTGGTGGTCGATAAGATAGTGACCCCTTGAAATAGCGCATTTAGTTGTTTAAAGAATGGAATGACGGTGCTACAATTATAATACCGGCGATTGTTCGAACAGATGGTTTTGGGGCATCATTTTGTAAAAGGTTTAGCTTGTTTGGGGGTGGATGGAGTAGAGTCTTGCGAGCATCACAAGGGAATGGTCGAAGATTTTTCGGCTCGCAGAAGCCTATAGCCTTACATTTTCTTTCTCGGACATAAGACATAGCTCCGCTGACAGACAACCCACTGTGGTTTGTGTAGGACATGGTGAGACCGGGGTTTAGGCTAATGAGAGGACGCGGCGATGTGTGTCGATAAATGGTCGTGTAGACCATTTGTGTGTAGGCGAGATGTAGCGGTTGTTGCGCTGTCAGCAGGAGAAATGTTCAGCCATCATATAAGAATTTGAGTGAACGGTTTTGCCGAAAGCCGTGATAGCGGTGTGACAGTTTGTTCTGAAAGCGATTAGAGCCCCCCGAAAAACCATTTAGTTTTTTAAAATAATGAGTCCGAGCCCCTTCCACTAATAAACCCGCCATTGTTCAAAAATGCGGTTTTAGATCATTTAAATTGAGCTCTGTTTGAATCAAAATTTCTACAGCGCATAAAACACTTTATGTAATGATTTCCAAAGCCATAGCCCTTAGCTTTTTCCGAAAAAATTTGTCAGCCCCCATAAAACCACTACTATACTTTAAAAGTTCCTAGGACTGAGTTATCCTTGACATTAAACCGCATTGTTCCTAAAATGGTTGTTTTATAACGTCAGTTTGTAAAAATTTTTAGCTTTGTTTTGTAAAAAATTTATGCAATTTAAAAAATTTCCATTCATTTTTCAAAGACCGATACCTTACTTTTCTTTCGAAAAATTGAGGCCCCTCAAAGAACCAACTATTCTTTAAAAGTTAACCGTTTATCTGCATTTGACCTGCATTTATCAAAAGAGTGAGTTTGTGTCTAGGACTTATCTGTGTTTGAAGATTTACTTTTTTTGTGCTAACAAACTTTCAAGCCATCAAATAATTGATAATTTTCCACAAGCCTATAGCGCCCTTTCTCTTACTTGTTTCGAAACAAAAAATCCATAGCCCCATGAAAAACATTCTTATTTTTTAACAAGATGAGACTGCTATGTACTCT